GAGTAAACTTAGCCTATATATACCAATGTAGAATTTCTTACTCAACGAATGTGGAATTGGTGTCAAATCCCACATTGCACAACATTTATTTCACAATTCAAAATGGTCACTTTAAAGCCTATTTTCTCATTCATTTTTTACTCAATTTGAGCAAGTGAATATACCACATTATTCTCCTCACAAAGTAGATTATGAACCACAAAAATTTATTCAAAATAACAAACAGGTCCAGTTGAATTTAGGCTCAAAATTGACAAAAAATTCAATTTTTACACTTAAAAAACGGTTTTGGTCCAACAATTTTATTAATCACCTCTTCATATCATGTGATAACCACTGAGTGGGATTCACCTTATATATTTTATTATAGGATGATGACACTATATGACAATAATGACGTGATGTCACAATTATACTCAAATATTTCCTCCTATATATGGCACACAGACTGGATAGTAGTTATATCTTGCACAAGCCTTCTGAATATTTCGTTACTGTCTTGTCTGGGTGCTTTGCCAAAAAATGGGTTCAGTTGGAGCTCAAAAACCTCATGCAGTTTTGATTCCATACCCAGCACAGGGCCATGTGAACTGTATGATGCGAATTGCAAAACTTCTACACTCTAGAAGCTTCCATATCACCTTTGTCAACACTGAATTTAACCACAAACGTTTGGTTCAGTCCAAGGGATCGGAATCCGTGAAGAACTTGCCTGACTTCAGGTTCGAGACCATACAGGATGGAATGCCACCATCGAGCCTCGATGCAACACAAGATATCCAAATGCTTTGTGACGCGGTTAGAAAGAACTGTTTGGTTCCCTTCAAAGAGCTATTGGCTAAGCTGAATTCATCAAACTCCAGCACACCTCCTGTTACGTCGATAGTTTCAGATATGAGCTTCGCCATAAAAGCTGGTAAAGATATGGGCATTCCAAATGTTAAATTATGGGCTGGTTCTGTTTGTTCCTTCATGGGGTACTTGCATTACCGTGAACTTGTCAACAGACGCATTTGTCCATTCAAAGGTAAATATGGTTTATTTTTATTTTTCATGTCGTTTCAGATCCACTACAATACCCAATATTCATTAGAATTCATAATTAGCAAGAAGTCACAAGTTCAAGGCTCCTCTTTTAAAACCGATAGCCTAGGAAAATAGACATAAAAAACAAGTCAAAACACAGATGGAGTTATCTACTATGAGAACACCACAGGTTAATCCCGGGTGTCTAATCCGCCCACCGGGAGTCACCTCTCACCAACGACTCCCTATATCTTTCTCTCTCCTTCGCCCTAGATTTTTTTTCCCAAACTGTTTCTTGATCTACCTTCAACTTCAATTTTATACATTACTCTCCAGAATTATACCAATCGCCACCTGAAAGAATGGTTAAGAAGGGATTGTTTGTTGAANTGACGCGGTTAGAAAGAACTGTTTGGTTCCTTTCAAAGAGCTATTGGCTAAGCTGAATTCATCAAACTCCAGCACACCTCCTGTTACGTCGATAGTTTCAGATATGAGCTTCGCCATAAAAGCTGGTAAAGATATGGGCATTCCAAATGTTAAATTATGGGCTGGTTCTGTTTGTTCCTTCATGGGGTACTTGCATTACCGTGAACTTGTCAACAGACGCATTTGTCCATTCAAAGGTAAATATGGTTTATTTTTATTTTTCATGTCTTTTCAGATCCACTACAATACCCAATATTCATTAGAATTCATAATTAGCAAGAAGTCACAAGTTCAGAATTATACTAATCGCCACCTGAAAGAATGGTTGAGAAGGGATTGTTTGTTGAAGGAGCTTCCCTCACTAGTCACTACCACATAAGGAATCTTCCTGGATTCCATCGCCGACTCCTTGATATCGTATTTGACGTAATATTCGTCAAATATTCAAAAATATATATTGAATACATATTATACCTATTTGATAATAAATAAAATATGTAAATACTTTATAAATCTTTTTATATAATTTTTAATTTTAATCTATAACATTTCTTTTCAATTTTACATATAATACAAAACATCAACAAATCGATATTTTACGAATAATTCAAAGCATCAGCAAATACCGATTTGATTATGAAAGCAAAAACTTTTTTTTTTAAGAATTAAATGCTATAAATGTTATATATTTTTCAAAGTAAAAATTATTAATTTTGTTTACTATTGTTAAAAAAATTATAAATTTTAAATTATTAAATAATAATAAAATATAAAATATATTTTATAATATATCTATCTCTAAGATATCCACATTACACGTTCTTAGATTTTATTATATTATTATATTTATATTATATTATAATATATTACGTATAGCATATTCATATTTTTGTTTTCTAGAATGAGATTTAGTGCAATTTAAGGAGAAGCAATCAAATCCTGTCGTGCTTGAGTCATCAAATCATTACCAGCCGATATTACTTTTTTCATCGTTACTTTTATTTATTTTCTAAGATGACGTCAAAGTTTAGGTGCAACTTAAGGAGAAGCAATCAAATCCTATCATGCTTGGGTCATCAAATAGTGCCTAGTGGCCAGTCAATGCTACTGTAGTATCATTACTTTTATTTATTTATTAAAATCCTGTCAATTATTTTGACATTAACTCAACTTGAACTAATTGTGTTGCGGTCTGCAGACATGCATTACCCATGAACCAGAAACCTTCCCTTTCTCCCTCATCGAACCCCACCACTCACTATCGTCAAATAAACTTAAAATCTCTGTTTTTTATTTTTTAAGAAAAATCAAGTGAAAAAATTCTATTTCTATGGGGATTTGTACCATCCTTGATCAAAAAAATACAAAATAAAAAATAAAAAATCTTGTTCAGACAACCCTAATTAACGAATTTATCACGCCTTAATCAAATTATACATCAATCTGACATGTTTTTACTCGTCTTAGCAAATTATATAATTTTTGAATTCATACAAAAAATTGGTCAATTCTAATCTTGGTTAGCTTTTGTCAGACCAACTACCTAATACTATTCAGGCCCATCAAACAACATTTTTTTAGCTTTCTTTAGGATTTGGTTTGAACTATTCAACAAATTCTTCCGCGTTACGCACCATTTTCTATCTTATTTGCTTATCATATTGAAAATTAAATGTCAGTCTCAATGAGATTCGTACCTTGTTAGCATATTATTAAAATTTGTCTGCTTTAGTGCAAAGGAGTTGTGAGAAAGTAATTGGGAGTACCTGGAAGTAAGTCATGTGTCTTTGATGTGTCCTGTCTGACTAAAAATACTATTGGGTTTTTATGCGTGATTGGTGAGTTTTCTTCGTGTCAAATATATATAGACTGTTTATTTCTGGTGGAGGACGGACCACTTCAAACGCTATACTAAATAACCTAACCTTTTATAAACGTAAGGAGATAATTTAAAATTTTAATGATCGTAATTATTGAATTGTCGGTGAATCTTGTTGCAAAATACACTTCACTTTTAATTTAATTTTTTTTTTGATATTGAAAAAAAAGGGATAGGGATAAGAAAATGTGCTCAACGACCACCCTATTAGATCCTCACTGGATATAACATAAGGCCCCTGACAGCACATGAAACACCTCTCGGGACCAAACCTAGTTATGCTAACATAGCGACCAATCACCGAGTCCTAATGGGGACTCCAAAATTTAAACACCCAACCTCTAGGTGAGGAACAAGACCGGTACCACCACTAGACCGCCTTACTCGGTGGTCACTATCAATTTAATTGTCAAAGAGTATTAGTGCCTAAATTATAGGATAAATTACACTTTATCCCCTTAAACTATTATTTTTTTTACTTTATACCATCAATTATAAAATTTCTTACATTACACATTAAAGTATTAGTTTTGTTTCATATCACTCCAATAGATAATAACTGTCAAATTTTTGATGATAAATGCATGTAATTGATTTGTACTATCAATAAGTAACTACTTATTGTATATGTGTAGATCAAAAATGAAGAAAAATACTCATTTCTAACTTTATCCTTTGTAAACTCTAAATTTTATTCCTTTGACGTCCTTGTTTTTCTTCTCAAAAGAGGTAAAATAAAGTGGTTCTAGACACTTAGTGAGAAGCTTTTTGGGTTTTCCTCCCTCGTTTGATAGATTTTCAAGTTTGTCATTATTTATTAAAGTGATATGAAACAAAATTGATACTTTAGGTGTGTAATGTAAAAATTAAAAATCTAGGGTGGATATGGGCATTAAAATCAAAATTCCCCTATGCCAAGAGTTACCCTATAACAGAGAGAGAGAGAGAGAGAGAGAGAGGGAGAGAGAGAGAGGGTAGTTTGATATCTTATAAACATTGTATTTTGCACTCTGATTATAAATTAAGGGAGATTTAGTGCAAAAGTTTGATGTATATAGGTTGCTCTGCTACCAACCCTAAGTAAAAAGATGTGTTCCGTAATAAACATACAAAAGGTATTTGGAGATTCTGTAAATTTTATTTGACTTTGAATGTTTGCAATTACACAAGAAAAAGGAACAAAATGTCAAGAAAGAAAATGAGTTTAGCAGTTGGTCTAATGGTCATCTCCATTATTGAATCTTAAATCTTAAGGTTATAGGTTCGAACCACATCATTTCCCTCCTCTATAATAGCGTATGACCCAAAAAAATAAAAAATAAAAAGAGAGAGAAAATATGGACACTATTATCCTTTCATATAACGGGTTGAAAGTGGTTTGCCTACACTCTTAGAGAAAGAAATCAATGTGCGGATGCCTTGGCCAATCTTGGTGTCCTGAAATTGGAAAAGTTGGCGGGGCTAGATGCTCCTCCTTTCCAGCTGACTAATTTTTTGTTAGCTGATATGACCAGTGTGGCTTTTACTAGACATTCTGTCTAGTTTTTGTTCTGTTTTTATTTTTCTTCCGATGCACCCAAAAAAAAGAAAGTGGTTTGCATAAAATAGTCATAACAATTATAAGGTTTAAAATATGATTATGGAATACTAAGACATAGATAATAACATGGCAGATGAAAATTTGGTTTTTACCTGTAAGCCCAGTAATGTTTGTGAACCTCTCAAACTATCAAGCTTGAACCAAGTTGTTTTTTGAACCACTTGGCTATGAGTATAGGTGCAATATTCTTTCCCCAGGAGAATAAAGTTGAAATAAGAAGATCTAATGAACAAAAGGCAGACTAAGCTGTTGTCTGCATGTAAATGATACAGACAATGCAGATGCTATTTGTATATGAAAATCATACAAGGACTACTAATATATATACACATACTTATGTATGTAGATGATCAAATAAATGTCTGTTGGAAAAAATAGTTTGAAAAATATATTTTGGAGCAATTTTGGGCTTAAATAAAAATGAGACCTACACTTTAGGATTGGTGGGACCATATTTCAACGTGTTCTCCTCTGTCAGCCCCGACCCAACATTTAGGCCACTTAGGCCATTGCCTAGGGTCTCCAAATTGGAAGAAAATTTTGGTGCCCCAAAATAAAATAAATAATTATATATCTATATAATAAATTAGATAGCAAGTTAAATATTTATTCCTTATACATTTTACCCCCACAAAAATCACATCACCCAATTTTATCACATGTTCAATCATTTAATATTTGGTTCGTTTGTAGATTAACAAAACTTTTATTTCATACATTATCCATATATGATAGTGTACACATGTTGAAAAAAATTTGTCGAGTTATGTATTTTAATAAAATTTTGACACTATTTTTAAGAAAATAATAGGTAGAAATTAATTTTAACTGATGTAAGCAAACAAATTAATTTTAAATTTGGTATAGTGTGATCAATTTTTTGAACGCTAGAATCTTATGTTTCTTCGTATCTTCAGACACGGGTTATGACTAGTAATTAAAATTCTAATATAAATACTCAATATATTTTAATCATTGAATTAACAGGGAGTGCTAAGTTTAAACAAAATTTACTATTTATATAATGTATTTGGTCCTCAAATTAAGTGCAACTAGTATTATTGTTAAATTTTTAGAACCTCTTTTAAAAATATTTAGGGCCCTAAAGTTCAACTTATTTTTTTATCTCACCTGATATTTATATTCTATGTATTATCACTTTTCAGTCTTATTATTAAAATCAATTGTCTATCATATAATAGGTACGAATAATAATTTTACATTTTTATATGTTAAATTTGATGTCATATTTTAATAACTTTATTTACAATGCATAATATGACTATAAAATAGAGTGAGTAGAAGTGGTGCACTAGTTATCTCAAATTAATTAACCATAGTTATCTTACTAATTTTTTTTATTTAAAAATAAGTATTTTTCTCTATAATATCTAACAATATCTCATTTACTTTAGGACTACTCAATTTTTATAAATTTCTATTTTTATACATTTAGAAAAAAATTTATTTAACTAGTCAACATAATTTTCAATTATGTTTCTCTTTTATCTTAAACAAATAATATGCATCATTGTATTTGATCTTCATATTTGACTTTGATTAACACAATTTGTATTTGTAAAATTTGAATTAAAAATTTTAGTTAGTATGTTATATCTCAAAAGACAAAACAAATAAATTGTAAATAAATATATTTTAATAAGTATTTAGTATTACTATTATTATTGAATAAATATTTATAGGACCTCGTATAACATTTTCACCTAGGGCCCCAAATTAGGTTGGGCCGCCCTGTTCTTCGTAAGAAGATTAACGTGGTATATTTATTTTTTCAAAACTATTAAGTATTGAATGAGAAATTATGTCTCAAAATGAGTCACTTGAATCGATGAAAAAAACTAAGAATGATATGGTGTAGTGTTAAGGCTTGTCCCACATTAGTAGGGATTAAAAATTTGATTAGTTAATATACTCTTAGTTGACTTCATGAGTTGGGCTCTAAAGGATACCATACTTTTGTGAGTGGAGCGAACACACGTTCACAAGCTGCCCCAGCGCTGCTAGGCTTAGGCTTGGGAGAACAAGATCCTATCTTTTTGCTAAATCTTTATTTAGTGTGGTACTGGTTGTGGGCCAGATGAAACGGGTCCGAATGCGAATCATACTTAGTCTTCTAATCGAAATTCAAAATTTATATTCTGTTATTTTTTAATTTGGCACTATTTGAATTGTGTGTGTTCACATTTTAGAGGGTATCTTTCCCTTTTCGTTACATTTCAAATTAACAATGTGTCTCTTAATCCGAACAAGCACAACGAACAGTAGTATCTCATGCCTTTTCAGGCAATCCGAATAAACATAAAAAGGGGTCTATAAAAGGACTCCCTTATAGCCATTTTCAATAACAAAAGATAAAAATTAAATTTATGCATCTACTACATTTGTTATCTCTCTTTTTGCATTTTTGCTTTTCTGATCAGTCCAAGTACAAAATAAAAAGTTGTTTTTCTTGGAATTTTGGAAATTGAAGTGTTGCTTCTTCAGAAACAAAATTTATTCTATATTAGAAGATATTTGTTTATCAACCTTAAGCAGCGAAAGGAAGCAAATTTGTCTTAAGGAAACTGTGTTTCACAGGGCTTGAATTTTTTTTTTAATTCTATTTATTTTCTTATTGCTATTCTGCAATCAAGTAAGTGCATCGTTTCTATTTTGTTTATACATAGTGTTTTATATAATTATTTTTAATTAACATTATACATAGTGATTAAGATTTGCTACAAGAATTAGTGTGATTAAGATTTGCTACAAGAATTAGTGTCAATTCAATTTTGATTATATATTGGATAAAAATGCCCACATATAAACAAGTATCTCTAAACCCATTAATGGAAATATTTAGTTGTTCGGCTATAAAATTGAGTCCTATTTGCTTTGCTATGTCCATTAAACGATCTATTTTTTGTATCTATAGATGGTATAAGCAACATTGCTTTCCTGATATAAGTCTTATCCTTGACACACATTCAATTTAATGCATCTCAGATGAAAACTACCTCACTGATGGGACTCTTGATTTGCCTATTGATTTTATTCCTGGCATGAGAGACATACGATTGAAGGATCTACCAAGCTTCATTAGAACAACTGACCCTAATGACATCATGTTTAACTTCATGGGAGAGGAAGCACAGGATTGTTTAAATACTTCTGCAATTATTTTCAACACGTTTGATGCATTTGAACATGAGGTGTTAGAGGCATTTGTGTCCAAGTTTAATTATCGTAATATTTACACAATTGGGCCTCTTCCGTTGCTAGACAGGCATGTGCCTGAAAGCGAAGTCAAATCACTTGATTCAAGTTTATGGAAACTAGACCCACACTGTCTTGAATGGTTGAGCCAAAGAGAGCTACACTCGGTTTTGTACGTGAACTATGGGAGTGCGACAACAATGTCTCAGCACCACTTCATCGAATTTGCATGGGAACTTGCAAATAGCAAGCAACCATTTTTATGGATTGTTCGGCCTGACCTTGTGCTGGGAAAATCAGCCATATTGCCTGAAGAATTTCTTGAGGAGACAAAGGACAGAGGATTGCTAGCTAGTTGGTGTGCACAAGACGAAGTGCTAAAATAACCAGTTATTGGTGCCTTTCTGACGCATTGTGGATGGAATTCTATTATAGAAAGCATATGTGCAGGTGTCCCTCTGCTCTGCTGGCCTTTCTTTGGTGATCAACAAACAAATTGTCGATGCTTATATACTAAATGGGGGATCGGCATGGAGATCAATCATGATGTAAAGCGTGAGGAAGTCAAAACACTTGTGAGAAAAATGATGGAAGGGGACAAAGGGAAGCAAATGAGGAGCACCGCTCGGGAATGGAAAAAGAAAGCTGAAGCAGCTACTGATGTCAGGGGATCATCCTATAACAACTTTGATAAATTCATCAAAGAGGCTCTTCATCATGAAGAGAAGTAAGAAACTGAGGAAACTGATATTCAAGCTATTTTGTTGTTTATAGTGTAAGTATTAAGTTGTTTATCATGGGACGCCTTGGGTTGGGGGCTGTGTCCCATGTATGTGTTTTGTCATATGGAAAGATGTAATGAGATAGACCTATTAGCATTGATTGTGTTCCATGGTGTAGTGTGCACTTTAGAATCATTCCGTTTTATGTTGCCTAATCGTAATCCTATATGAGATTCTTTAGATGATTAGGTGTGGCAATAGAATTGAGTCTCAACTGAAAAGGGATCAAGATTTAGGAAAATAGTAAAGTAATAACAACTCTCTACTTAAAAAAAAAACAAGTTATTTATCAGTGAAAAACAAGTCAAGGTAGCCCAAAATCCCTGCAAATCTTTTGAATGCCATTACAAAATGTTGGATGATAGGACTTGATGATATAAATCAATAGACAATGCAGATGCTTGCCACGAAGGTACATCACCCAAAAAAAAATAGAGGAAATGGAGATACAATTTTGTTGGTATCACGACAGTAACTAGTATCGAAGTTTAGAAGAGATTGATAATGGAAAAGGGAAGGAAATTAAGAACACGAGATTACGTAGTTCTGCACATAGTGCCTAAATCCATAGACAAATTCCTTGGGGCAATATTGATGTATTATTTGTTGGTACTTGATTACATGGGGCTCAATCTTATTTATAAGATGATTATTACATATGATAAAGATGAATTTCACACAAGTCTACTATCATTTATATTTATCTAACAACCAGAATATCGATGGTCTATTTGGATCCTACCATATCTCTACCCAGATATTGATAGATTTGTTTTGATCCTATCTCTCTCATAACTAGCACACCTTTTTAGGAAAACCAATTCAAATATATATTGTATAAGAAAATTACTTGTCTATTCTAATCTCGAGGAAATTCACAAAAATCCAGAAGTCCAAAAGTACAGAGGTTGAGATGTAGGATAACCTCATGCATCAACCTGGTGACTATCTTTCCATTTTACATTAAATATTGGCATTGCCAAGAATACTTGTAGTAATAATATGCATAGGAAAGAACTACAATTTTCATCTAGTCAATAAAATTGTCACATGGTACTTTGACAACAAAGCATGACTGAGTATCATATTAAAGAGGATGAAAAATGAAAAATATCCCTAAGATTTCAGTCTTATAATAAATTCCCCCTTCGACTTAGTATGAGTCAAAATCTAATTTTCGTATTATATATGCAAGTTCGAGTTCGGTTATAAAGTTCAAGTCTCATAAGCGATATTTGTGGGGTCAAATGACAGCTCTTACTAGGTTTAAGACTTGGATTCAATCCACTTGGCTACGTAGTTGCTCTCAGTCTCTTTTCCCCTAAGAAATGCTGAGTAGACAAGATCTCTTCAAAATTTTCTACCATGAGTTCGAGTGAGATGTATTCTATTTATGTAGATCCCTACCAATATAAGGTAGGTATCATTTAGAAAAAAGAGAGGACCTCAAATCAGTGAGATCCTAATCCATGAGTAGTCATGTCATAATTTATCCCTTTTGCTTCACCTTTGTCAAGGTTTTAATGGCTAAAGAATTAAGACTAAGTTTTGACATCTCCAGTAAGCATTGAATAATTGATGATTTTCCAATCGATTATGATTCCATAAGTTATTATTACACAATACAATCAATTACTAATAATTATATGGGTAAATTACACTGACATCCCCTATAGATTGGTCTAAATATAGAGATACCCCCTCAATTTTTTGGAATCTCACTGGCACCCTCTATAGTTTATATACCCATTTCATTTAGCACTCATGTCGTTACAGACATTAGGCAGTGTTAAAAACAAGATCTGACACCATGAAAATTTGTAGGTGGATTGCCCATTTTACCACTGTCTAAAGCCCTTCAAATACCAGACCTCATTGAATATTTCAAAACTACATCTCATTTTTCTTGAGGGGGGCAACAACTACTGTGTGGGAGATTCTACTCTTCTCCACCTCCAAACTTTATGCTAGGCACCAGGTATCATGTATTCTCCATAATTGTTATTTATTTGGTGACTAATTTATGTGTTGTTGAGATGACTCATTAATATGTGTTCACAACATGTCATCATTGTAATCACATGAACACATAAATCCAAACCAACTCATAAGTAATAAAACAATTGAGAGCTAGCATATATGATGCAAATCAAGAAGTGGTTCCTTAAATCTTGGTGGTAAGAGTAGAAGATAACTATCAATAAGTGGTTCTTTAAAATAAGCAGAAGATAACTATGAGGAATGTGCGGTAGTTGTTATTATTGTTTTTTTGTTATTTGTTTGTTATCTCTTTCCTCGTTTGTTTCCTAGATTTTAGCCTTCATCATTATATAGGGAATAAAATTTTGGAGAGATTCCTGTTGCAGAGAGATTCTATGCTTTGTTTACCCTCTTGGTTGTTGACATGAGGCTAAACCAAGAGGTCTTACATCATTTTGGTATCAGAGCCCAATTTTCGTCATAGGGAAAATTTCATCATCTCATGCCTGTGACCCAAAGCGGTAATTCAGACACCATGTCAAACAATGCAAACCAAGAACAACCCAACTTACAACAAAAAGTCACTCAAATTACCTCAATTTTGGAGCAAATCTCACACTGATTCAATGTACTGGAAAAACATCAGGCTCGAGCTATGAATTCCCAATAGAAGGGGGCGTGTTCCACCTCGTGAAGAGGAATTAGAAGCAAGTGGTGGGGAAGAGGAAGACGAGCCGAATGATGATGACCATAGGAGGTTCGGACACCGTGACTTTCATCGTAGGGACCATTATCATCACGACTGTGGTGAGTGTGGTGCAGGCTTTCACCAACAACCTCTTGATGAGCTGACTAAGAGGATGAAAGTGGATATGCTAGATTTTTATGAAAAATTAAAACCCAATGCTTTTGAAGATTGGTTAACAACCATTGAGGATTACTTCGATTGGTTTGCCGTATCAGAGGATCAAAAGGTTCGTTATGTTCGAATGAAATTAAAGGGGCATGCAAGAGCTTGGTGGGGAAGTGTGGAAGAGCAGTTGTGCCGTACTCGACGTCCATCAGATTCCAACTGGGAGGAGATGAAGGAACTGATGAAGGAAAAATATTTGCCCATTGATTATGAGCAAATGATGTTCGAAGAGATGTTACAATTGAGGCAAGGATCATTGATAGTCGATCAATACACAGATTGTTTCCACGAGTTGACTGTCCATATTAAGATCGTGGAAGCTAAACAACAAACTCTAGCCCGATACCGCACTGGAGCACTACGTAGCAATTTGCATAAAGAAATGTTGATTGCATGATTAATCAATGTTGAGGAAGCGTATCAATTGATGTTGTGTGTTAAGAAGCAAATGGGAATTTTGATTGAAAGGAGGATGATGTCCACGGATCTAAGGTCCGGGCATGTGGTAAATTCTTCATTCCAAAAGCCACCATTGTTGAATGAGCAACCCAAAGTTGCAGTGATGGGAGATCAAAAAGGAAAGGTGAAGGTTACTGGTGAAGGGCCGCAATGTTACAAATGCAAAGGTTTTGGGCATTTTGCTGTTGTGTGCCCTACAAGAGATAAGAAATTGGCATTCATATGTGAGAAGGATTTAACGGTAATGGATGTCGACGAGGGTGTTGATGGGGAAAAAGAACATTTGGGTGCAACTGATCTACCTAGTTGCATGATCCTCCGCATGTTGACTGGAAATAAGGAGTTTAAGGCTAATCACGAGTGGCTACGCACCAATATTTTTCATTCATGCTTCGAACATGGTGGCCAAGCTTTGAATGTCATTATCAATAATGGCAGTGGCATGAATGTGATTTCCAAAGATGCAGTAGAGCGTTTGGGGTTGAAAGTTGAAAAACACCCTACTCCTTATCAAATTAGTTGGCTTAATGAAGATAATTCAGTCTTGGTAAAGCAACGGTGTTTGGTGAAGTTTTCATTGGGAACGAAATAGGTGGATGAGGCCTGGTGTGACATTATTCCTATGATTATTTGTCACATGCTTTTGGGGAGACCATGGCTTTATGATTGGAGGGTTTCCTATGACGGGTATGCCAATACTTACTCTTTTATATTTATAGGTAAGAAATTTGTTTTGGATCCTTTGTAGATTTTGGAATTTGAGACAAAAAGAGAAGTTGTCCTGGTATTGACTATACACCAGTTCTCTCGAGTTTTATTGGAAGAACAAATGTTGTTAATGGTGGTGAGTCATGAGGTTAAGCAAGATGATGGCTATATTCCCACAGAGTTTGCCAAGTTGTTGGAGAAGTTTCAAGATATTATGACTGATGAGATGCCAAAACAACTTCCACCAATGCGGGATGTGCAACATGCTATTGATTTAATTCCGGGATCAACCCTGCCTAACTTGCCACATTATCGCATGAGCCCAACAGAAAATGAAGAACTTAACCAACAAATTCAGTAGTTACTAGTTAGGGGTTGGATTCGAGAGAGCCTTAGTCCCTACGTTGTTCCAGTTCTACTTACGCCCAAGAAGGACGGTAGCTGGAGGATGTGTGTAGACAGTTGGGCAATTAACAAGATCACAGTCAAATACCAATTTCCCATTCCTCGACTTGATGACATGTTGGATTTATTAAGCAGCGCCTCTATTTTTACGAAAATCGACCTTTGAAGTGAATACCACCAAATTCGCATCCGTCATGGTGATGAGTGGAACACAGCCTTCAAAACAAAAGATGTACTATTTGAATGGCTGGTCATGCCTTTCGGATTAACCAATGCGTCAAGCACCTTCATGAGTGTTATGACACAAACACTCAAACCATTTTTGGGTAAATTTGTAGTCATATATTTTGATGATATTTTAATTTTTAGCCGCTGTTTACAGGACCATCTAGACCGTGTAGAACAGGTCTTGAACAAATTGAAGGCTGAACGACTTTATATAAATCGAAATAAGTGTTCGTTTATGAAAAAGAGAGCCAATTTTTTGGGCTTCATAATTTCTGATCACGGTGTTGAAGCTGACCTTGCCAAGGTGCAAGCAGTTCAGAAATGGCCTATACCTCGAAATTTCTTTGAGGTGCGCAGATTCCATGGGTTGGCAACGTTCTATTGACGTTTTATTCGGGGTTTCAACACCATAATGGCCCCAATCACCAAGTGTTTGAAAGTAAAGAGATGTTCTTGGACAAT